TTTCTATGTCTGTTTCTGTTTTGTAAATAAACTCAGTTGTATTAATTTTTAGATTCCATAGATAAGTGATATCACATTTGTCTTTCTCTGTTGGACTTAGTATGATAATCTCAAGATTCATTCATGTTGCTGCAAATGGGAATATTTTGTTCTTTTTTTTATTGTTGAGTAATATTCCATTGTATACATGTACCACATCCTTTTTATTCTTTCATCTGTTGATGGGCATTTAGGTTGCTTCCATGTCTTGGTTACTGTAAATAGTGCTACTATGAACATTGGGGTGCATGTATCTTTTCAAATTAGAGTTTTCATCTTTTCTGGATATATGCCCAGGAGTGGGGTTGCTGGATCATATGGTAATTCTATTTTTATTTTATTTATTTTAAAATTTTATTTATTGGCTGCGTTGGGTCTTCGTTGCTGTGTGCAGGCTTTCTCTAGTTGCAGCGAGTGGGAGCTGCTCTTCGTTGTGGTGCGCGGGCTTCTCATTGCAGTGGCTTCTCGTTGCGGAGCACAGGCTCTAGGCGCAGAGGCTTCAGTAGTTGTGGCACGCGGGCTCAGTAGTTGTGGATCACAGGCTTCAGTAGTTGTGGCTCGCGGGCTGTAGAGCACAGGCTCAGTAGCTGTGATGTACAGGCTTCATTGCTCCACGGCATGTGGGATCTTCCCGGACCAAGGCCGAACCCGTGTCCCCTGCATTGGCAGGAGGATTCTTAACCACTGCGCCACCAGGGAAGTCCCTATTTTTAGTTTTTTTTTTTTTTTGCGGTCGTGGGCCTCTCACTGTTGTGGCCTCTCCCGTTGCGGAGCACAGGCTCCGGACGCGCAGGCTCAGCGGCCATGGCTCACGGGCCCAGCCGCTCCGCGGCATGTGGGATCTTCCCGGACCAAGGCCGAACCCGTGTCCCCTGCATTGGCAGGAGGGGTCTTAACCACTGCGCCACCAGGGAAGGCCCTATTTTTAGTTTTTTTTTTTTTTGCGGTCGTGGGCCTCTCACTGTTGTGGCCTCTCCCGTTGCGGAGCACAGGCTCCGGACGCGCAGGCTCAGCGGCCATGGCTCACGGGCCCAGCCGCTCCGCGGCATGTGGGATCTTCCCGGACCGGGGCACGAACCCGTGTCCCCTGCATCTGCAGGAGGACTCTCAACCACTGCGCCACCAGGGAAGCCCAACTCCCCATTCTTTATGTATGGGCTCGGAATAACTGCTTCCTCCCAAAGGGTGTTGTATGGAAAAAGGGAAAAATGTCACTTTACGGTGGAGAATCCTGACAAACACTACTTGAGCCGGGTGACCAAGGCCAGCATCAGCTGTGATAAGCTAAGTTGATAGTGTGTACCCTTCATATCATGTGATGAAAGTGGTACTTTACCTCTGTGGTCTTCCTCCTCCAAACCCCCAAATTCAATCTAACCATGAGAAAAACACCAGCCAAAACCACTGGGTGGGGGGCATTTTGCAAAACCTCCAACCAGCACCCTTCAAGATTGTGAAGGTCATCAAAACAAGAAAAGCCTGAGAAACAGTCACAGCCCAGAGGAGACTGTAGAAACATACCTAAACCTAATGTGGCACTTGGATAAGATCCTGGAACAAAAAAAGGGTATTAGGTAAAAATTAAGGAAATCTATATAAAGTATGAATATTAGGTAATAGTGATAATGTATCAATATTGGCTCATTAATTGTGACAAATGTATTATACTAATGTTATATATTGATTATGTTATATGGGAACTCAGTATTATCTGTAATTTTTCTATAAAATTAAGACTATTCTAAAAGTTTTTTTTTGAAGGGCCCAGAAAAGCAAGTTGCAAAAAGATATAATTTCTATTATACATCTCTAAATCAACTCATTAGAAAAAAGCCAGTACATGTGTCTTTGTGTATATTTCCATCGTATACACAAGCACGTGTACATAACTGATGTAAAACTACAGAACTGTGGAGTACAATAACCACTAGTCACATGTGGCTAAAAATAAGTAACATTTCCTCAGTCACACTGGCCACATTTCAAGTGCCCAGTGGCTAAATTGAGTGGTTACTATCTTGGACAGTGTAGATACAGAACATTTTCATCATTGCAGAAATTCTTTTGGACAGCACTGCCACAGGATATTACTGAACTGAAAAGACACTTAAGAATATACAGCAATCAAGTGATTACTTCTGGAGAAAGGAATTCACTTTTTATTCTGTATCCTTTCTATTTTTTTACCTATGAACTTGATTTTTTCATATTTTAAAACTGTTTTATTGAAGTATAGTTGATTTATGTATTCTTTCTATTCTTATGAACATATATTTTTATTGTTTTTGTGGTTTGAAATGTTTTTCACTTTAGTTTTTAAACATTTTGCATTAAAAAAAAATGGTGCATCAGATGTTGTTTAAATGAGTTATTTTCCTCAGTATTTCTGTCATTTTCCATGTGTCTGTTAGAGGCAAAATTTCTTTAGCCAAACTTAGCACTGAAAGGCTGCTCAAAACCTCTGGCATTTGACAATTGAATAATTATGATAATATTAACATCTTTTTCCTAAACTGTACCTTGATTTTTAAAAAATAAATAAAGGAGGCAAGAGTAGAAGGGTAAATTCTTCCTTCCTCAGATTTTAAAATGGTTGTACCCAATTTAAATGAAACTGATCTTCCATTATATTCTCTTCTCTATCATTCCCAATGACTCTCCCCAACACTCCACAGAGGAAAAGCTTAATTATTTTTCAGTGGATGGGCATTTTTAGACAAGTATGTGCGTATGTATGAATGTATTTATTTGTATTTTTTTAGAAAATGTTAGGAGAATTATCTTCAAATGCCAATCAAATAAACATACACAATAGCCCCAAAGGTGGAAAACAATATATTAATTTATTTCCAAGAAAACAACATGCAACATCATCGAAAACAAAGTTTTCAGGGCATCTCCAAGGGCTAGCAGAAACCCACTAGTCCAAACACTACACTCTTCCAAAATTAAAGTACTTAAGACATAGAAGAAATGACCAACAACGGACATGTAAACATCTTCTGTTCCAAAAGATTTCTTGTTCTACAAGAGAAAGATCCAGTGTAAAGCAACCCTTCTTCTCAAGTGGTGTCATGTAAATGAGTTGAGAAAAAAGGGTGATCTTCAGATTCTGCCTTTAGCTCTGGGTGTGTTCCCTACCCCTGGACTCTTCGTCAACCAATACAGTTCCATCTTTTTTTTTTTCGGTAGCAGGAAAAAAGAAGCCTTTCCTTCAAAGTCACTAGAAGTCATTAAATTCGAAGTCATTAAATATGATTAACATTCAACAGGCACAATTACAGAAAAAAAATAACGTTGTGTGGATTAAATGTATCATTAATTGTAGTTACTGTTTTCCATTAGAATAAATAAATATCAAGGAACCGGGTGGAATATAAGAGTAGACTTCACATTTTTCTGACGTGACAGGACGTTTTCTCAATATTAACACTGAGACCATTCTGGGATGCTAAATATGGCTTTACTTCACCTTCTCTAAATGCTCCACCTCAGGAAATGAACAAAGGAGACCAATAAGAGAATCCCGATTCTCAGACAGATCATGCGAGCTTCCCAAGAGCGTTGTGAGAGTCGAAGGCCACGAGATGTAAAGGAGCAAGCAGAACACCTATCGAACACAATCGGCTGTGGCTTCCTTCAGTCTGCTCCTTCCCTCCTCTCTTGGGAATAATCTCTGATTGAGACCTCCCTTTGTAATTTCTGATATCCTGGGCCTGATATCACAGTCTACAGCCCCGCACATGAAGGTGTTAAAATACAACCACCCTGTGAGATTCTCTAGAGCAGCCTTTCCAATGTTGACGTTATTGCCGGGACTTCTAGAGTGAAAGAGCTTCTGACTCACTCCTCCTCCTTGTCTCTGCACGTGTCTGGTGTGTAATAAACACTCAAGAAATACTTATTGACCAGATGCTGAATGAATGAATTGGATACATGAATGGGGCGAAGGATAAGTGACCAAAAGGCTCACACACATTTGAAAGCTTTTAAAAATCCAGGCACTCCTATGACCCCCAGGCATTGCAAAGCTACCCAGAGAACACTATGGACTCCTTAAAGGCTCACGGGACAGAATTTGGTCTCCACTTTGCAGATAAGATCACTTTGGTCCAGGTGGAGAGTAGTGGCAATAAAGGAAAGTGATTTACTCTGAGATATTCAAGGCTTGAGGCTAAACCCCTGCAACAGCACCTCTCTTCTAGAAATTCTTCATGCTTCAAGAACTTTTCCGTGTTCTCAATGGAAAACAAGAAAGAAGGATCAGAGCACATTCTGACAAATATTCAAGAAACTGATCCCCCCCGGGGGCCTTTTACTGAAGAGGCAGGCAGCGACTGCTGTCTCAAATTCTGTCTCCTGTGAATGGCTTTAAATTCTATACAGAACTTTAGACACAGGAAACTTGAAAATGCTACTGTTGAAACTCAGGAACAAGATCTAGTTCTCAGTTCTAGGAGCTCAAGTTGTAAAGGAGATTGGTCAGTTACCCAAAAAGCAATTTCTATGCCTACGTGCAGGTAAGCAAAGAGCAGGGGATATCCATCAATGTGTGGCTAGAGATCTGTTATAAAAGATTCCTTCTTCAAAGAAACCCAATTCTTTTTCTCCTAAATAGTATTATCCACAATTCTCCTTTTCATTAGAACATTGATATATGATGAAGATCAGATGCAAATCTGAGGACAGTTTAATTTATCACTGATCAGAACATTAGCCTGATACAGAGGTGAGCCTCAAGAAACTGCCAGAGTGGCCAAAGTGCCAGCATCACTCTGTGCAACCATCCTGACAGCATATTTCACGGTGTCCAGAGAATATTTTAACGTGTAATAACGTAGTCAGGTCCTGAAGCCATAACCTTGGCCCTGAGACTGTTCATATAACCCAGGCTGTTTTTCTCACAAAGAAAAGCTCTCCTTTCCAGCTGCGATTTTCCTTCAGTCGTGAGTGGCAGTAGATCAAAAATACCAGCTGGGCTGTATTGCAATTTCACTCTGATTTAGGGTTCTTTCTCTAAGCCTCAGCTCTAGGCATTCCACAGTAAGGGGGTACGTAGTGAGCTCAAACTTGTTAGCAAAGAGGCTTGACGAATTAATCAACCACTTTAAGTCTCCGTTTCCATAGATACAAATGCCATGGACGTAGTGGCCTGTAAAGGAAGAGAACAAGAAACAGTGAAAACAGGCTTGTTTTTGAGTCAGGGGTAGTGAGCTTGCAAAATGGTAGGGTTACTGCCTAACTGCTGCGTGGCTAGCACTCTGTCAAGGGCTACGGGATTGTGATGAAACAGCGTTGTGCTGGCCCAGCCCACGAGGAAGTTAAACTTTCTACGGGGAGAAAGAGTTACAAACATGCATTTGAAGAAAATGAGAGTTAAATAATACAAAGAAGTAACACAACAGGCATCACAAGGCCGTCCATGGACTGTATCACGAACTTTGGATTTCATGGATGAGAGGTTCCAGAAATGTAGAGATGGGAGACGTCTTGATGGGCTGTATTCGTCAGGTCTCTCCTCTGAGCTCCAGCCTGGTCTAGCCAAGTGCCTACTTTATCTCTCCTCTTAGGTGAGTAATAAACCTCACCCATAGGTCAGGTCTCAAGTCCTTAATCCTCTCCAAGTCTTCCCCATCACAATCCACAGCAAGTCTATTCTTCAGTGCCCTGGGCACTTCTCCCCCTTTTTGTCACACCCCACATCCAATCTGGTAGCAATCCTGTCAGCTCAACCTTCAAAATACTAATAGAATTTGACCACTTTTCACCACCTCCACTACCTGTATCCTAGTCCAAGCCGCCTCCATCTTCCTGTCTGAACTGTTACAATAACTGGTTTCCAGCACCTCCATTTTTGCCTGTTAGTACATTCCCAGCACAACAGCCAGAGTGATTGTTTTAAATGTAAGCAGAAGATGTCTCTGCTGCTCAAAACCCTCTAATGGCTTTTCATCTCATTTGCAGTAAAAGCCAAATTCCTACCAATGGCATTCAAGACTCCTCAGACTCTCCTGGACTCACCTCCCACCACTTACTCATTCAGTTATAACCTTTAATAACCCTTCCCAGCTCGGTGCTTTGTGACCACCCAGAGGGGTGGGATAGGGAGGGTGGGAGGGAGGGAGACGCAAGAGGGAAGAGATATGGGAACATACGTATAACTGATTCACTTTGTTATACAGCAGAAACTAACACACCATTGTAAAGCAATTATACTCCAATAAAGATGTTAAAAAAAGAAACAAATAACCCTTCCACATTCATATTAGCCACACTGGCCTCCTTGCTAGTCCCAAGCACCCTCAGGCATCCATCAGTGTTTGCTCGTTCTCCCCTGTGCCACGTCCTTCCACCAGACAGCCTCAAGGCTCCCTCTGGCACCACCCAGGGCTGGGCTTCAAGGTCATCTCCTGAGGCTGTCTCTGACCTCCTTCCCTTCTTTCCTGATTCATTTTCCTTTTGACACTTATTACCAACAAACGTGTTTGTTCGTTTACTGTCTTTCTCCCCAGACTAGAATATAAGCTCCTGAAGAGCTAGGATTTGAGACCATTGTGTTCACTTCTGTGTTCCCAGCATCTGGAACAGTGCCTGGTAAATATTGGGTGTTAAATTAATAGTTGTTGAATAAAAGGGTAGAGAAGGGTGAGTGGAGAGTTCACGGGTGGGTAGAATTGGGAAGCATCAGGGGGATGGATGGGAAAGCATCAGGTGGGAAAATGCCTCTGGAAAATGTAGAGATGAGAATTTTCTGCTAGAACAGAGTTTGTTGGGGGACAGGTTCAAAACAAGGAAGCTGGTACTCTTTCCAGCATTTGTTTGCATATGGTAGAACTACTATGGTTGACTGACTTAAAATAGATGAAAGTTGGGCCTCTTTTATCCCATAAGGGGTTGGGCCTTTTTATCCCTTTCTTATGAAAGGGCTGGAGAAGTTGTGTGTGTTTGTTTTTTTTTTTAATTTATTTTTGGCTGCATTGGGCCTTCATTGCTGCGCACGGGCTTTCTCTAGTTGTGGTGAGCAGGGGCTACTCTTCGTTGTGGTGCACGGGCTTCTCATTGCGGTGGCTTCTCTTGTTGTGGAGCACGGGTTCTAGGAGCACAGGCTTCAGTAGTTGTTGCACGCGGGCTTCAGTAGTTGTGGCTCGCGGGCTCTAGAGTTCAGGTTCAGTAGTTGCGGTGCACGGGCCTAGTTGCTCCGCAGCATGTGGGATCTTCCTGGACCAGGGCTCGAACCTGTGTCCCCTGCACTGGCAGGGGAATTCTTAACCACTGTGCCACCAGGGAAGTCCCTGAAGAACTTTTTTGAATAGAAGAATCAAATGATGAAATAGATTTCAGCAAGATTAATTCTGCAGAGCTTTGCAGGGTACATTAGGGACCAATCAAGAGATTACAGTAATTGTGTAAACCAGAGAGTTTGTTCAAAGTTAATGGTTGCCATGAGTGGGAAAAGAAGGCTATTAGAGGCAGAGCACAGAAGGACTGACGGGACTTGGTGATTAACTCAATGTGGCTGGAAGGAGGTTCAGTAGACAGAGAAAATCACTGGAGAAAAAAGCCGGAGTTTAAGGAAGTTAAAGAATAACTGGGTAGTGGGTGGGAAGAACCTGGTACGTGGGCAGCACGCCCACGCTTAAGAAACGGCAGTGAGCAGCAGAGGAGATTTCAGGCTGGATCAAGCAGAGAGTGCCTAGACAGCTTGGTCTTCAGGATAGAGGCAGTCAGTACACCTTTGCTTAGGAAAAGAACCAGCAGAGAGGGAGACACTGAGAAGGCAAGAGAGCAATGGGATAATTTAGGGGGATCCACACACAACTGAGACCAGATGGTGACCTTGGTTGTGAGGATAGGTAGCTTCTCCTCTTGGAACAGGAAGCAACGAGAGAATGGGTCCAAAATGCTCTAAGATGGCAGAAAGGGATGACATGACAAAGGAACTGAGAAGGAGATTTTAATCAAATGTCTTCAAAGTTCTTCCTAAAGTTGAATTGATCACCTTTTGAGAGTAGAAAGGCTGTTTTAACATAAGATTGGGAGCTTAAAGGTGGGCAGAAAAGCTCAAAAGGTGTACCCCGGGAAGAGTACCAGGACAATAATGACATAAATAAAAGAATAAGTAGGCAGCCAGAGGGTCTAGCTGAAGGTAGACAGCGGGTGAATTTAGGGCAGTTCTGTGACATTCTTCAGCAATGTCCTGCTTCAGGAACCACAAATGGCAAAAAGCAGATGACAGTAATGATTACGTGTAGGAATCAGCCTTGTAGGATCAAATGGCAAGGGAACCTAAAATGTTAGCAAGAACAACACACAACAGCTGATGCAGTACACAGGCTGGACGAGGGGTCCTCAGAAAGAAACTAGTGGGAGGAGGAAAGTCGAACCTCTGGAAATTCCAATTTTTAAAAAGCAAACACAGGCTTCCCTGGTGGTGCAGTGGTTGAGAGTCCGCCTGCCGATGCAGGGGACGCAGGTTCGTGCCCCGGTCCGGGAAGATCCCACATGCTGCGGAGAGGCTGGGCCCGTGAGCCATGGCTGCTGAGCCTGCGTGTCTGGAGCCTGTGCTCCGCGGCGGGAGAGGCCACAACAGTGAGGGGCCTGCGTACCGCAAAAAAAAAAAAAAAAAATCCCAGCTCTGTTGGAGCTTCTATTCTGTTCTGGGGAGAAAGGCAGTAAAATATATAATATGTAAGTTGGTGAAGGAAACTAGTAGGGTGACAAAGAGATAGTAATCAGAGATGGGAGCTCCAAGTTAAAAGACCATAGGTCTAGAATGGTACTCTGTGATTTGAAATGCTAAGAGAGTTTGTAAAGTGGGTACACTCACAGGTTTGGAACAAATCCTATTACAGCCAAGGGGAAAAGGTCCAGATTGTATTACTGGCTTGCTGGTTTAGCAAAATGTTCTATTTCCTCTGGAAATATGCCTTTTTCTATGTCTTTTCTATGTCTTTTTCTTTTCCCTGTATAGTGGTCTGGGGACATTTTTTATGCTATGAACCCTGTAAGGCTTTCAGATGGCATAACAGATACTAAGAGAAGAAAAAGCGAGACATTTGTTTGAGAGGGGCATGAGCTACCCAAACATCGTACCCTGTGTAGGTTCCTGGCTAGGGGCTATCTTCATGGCCCCTACCTGTCATGTGATCGGTAAAGGTCCCTATAAAAATGCAAACCTGACTTGTCTATACCTTCTCTACTGAGGTAGGTCCTGGATACAGGTGATGACAAGGAGACTGAAGGTAAAGCTCTACTTGGGTGGGTTGTGTGTGTGGCTGAAACACAGTAGACAGCAGCTTTGGGGGGGTGGGGGTGGGGAGGGCTAGAGCTGTAATGTAATCACATCACGTGGGTCCTTGCTGTGGATGTTGGAGTCCTCAAGTGTCACAGCTGGAGACGGGGTGGAGAAGCAGATCAGAGGATGGTTCTAAAGGGAAGGTGGTAGGGGTTAGAGAAGGAAGTGGAGAAGGCAACCTATCCCAAATACTGGGACCCTGACTGACGGAGATGGTCCACTTTCTAAGGAAGGCCCAGGAGATCAAAGAGCAAAGTACCCTCCTCTCCAGCCCCCTCCCCCCACTAGGAGGGCAGGCCACGATGGGAATGCAGGCAGGTGGCAATGAGCTGTCCTCTGGGGAACATGTGGGCTGATTGAGGTAAAGATGTGACTATGCTTAAGAATAGAGTGTGCAGTGACACGAGGATGCTGTCATCCATAATGGAAGGGGACCCCCGAGAGACCAACACCGGAAGGAGGGTGAGTGTAATGGAGAGATGTAGAGAAGCAGCAGTTTGGAGGTTCTCATCTGAAATGTTAGGTGTAGATAAGATGGGCTGAGGATAGAGCCGTAGACTGAGTGGAAGAGGGGAGAGGGCCAAACTTCGTTACCACAGGGAGAACGGGGCAAACCTTCCCATTCACTCACTCATCCGTTTGCTCAGTCACTTATTCACTGTATATATACTTATTGCCTGTTCTTATGGGCTGAATTGTATGTCCCCCAGATTCATATGTTGAAGTCCTAACCTTCCAGCACCTCAGACTGTTACTGTGTTAGATGTAGGGCCTTTAAAGAAGTAATTAAGTTAAAATGAGGTCATGTGAATGAGCCCTAATCCAATATGACTGGTGTCCTTATAAGAAGAGATTAGGACACAGACACACACAGAGGGTAGGTCATGTGAGGACACAGGGAGAAGACGGCCATCTACAAGCCAAAGAGAGAGGCCTCAGAAGAAACCAAACCTGCTGACACATTGATCTCGGACTTCCAGCCTCCAGGACCGTGAGGAAACAAATTTCTATGGTTTAAAACACTCAAGTCTATGGTACTTTGTTATGTTAGTCCTAGTCAACAAATACACATGCCCACCATGCACCAGGCAAGAGTCTGAATATACACCAGGACTGATGAAAAGCCTTCTTTACAAGGTTCTATAGAAATGAAAACTACTTGTTTTCTAGTTCTTATCCACTTGGAGGGCAAACCTCTCTTGTTGCTGTCACCTGCCATCATGCCAGAGCTGCAGCAAACACCTCCAAGCCACCTGGAAACCTGTCTGTAGGGGGAGCAGAGGCAGACATGAGGGATGGGAGTCAGTGCTAAGAACATGACGTCACTTCTCATCCTGACCACTTTCTCCTCGTAACCGCTGCACGCCCAAAGGAGCAGAAAGAGGAATGAATAATAAGGAAAAGGCAGAAACTAGCAAGAAAAAAGCACCGTTACAATTTGAACCCACGTCTACATCTCCCTAGGTAATTATAAGCTGGAGAATGTCTTTAAGATACTTAGATTTACTTTTCAAGGACCGTGTCTTGAAGCCTCTTGCTACTCTGTTTAATAATTCACAGATTGGTCTAAATGAACCAGCAGGGCTCTCTGTGAGAACCCCTGTATTCCACAACCTTCATGCCAATACCAAAAAGCAGTGTGGCCTCACAGTTTCAAATGAATGCCTCACCGTGGCAGCCTCCGTGTTTATATTCCATGTCAAACCACTTTACAGCTCTGAGGTTCCCGGCCCACGATGCGTTTGGCATGGAGCCAGGAACACCTGCAATGTTGATAAAGAAGAAAAGCAGAAATGAGAACCAAGAAAGAAAGGTGTCAATTTCATCAGTTAAGCTTCCAAGTCATGTTTATTTTCTCCCAGTATATTATCTTTCATTTCAGATTTTTCATCATTGGTACAGAACCCCACAGGCTTATGGTGCGAATAGTTGGTAGTTATGGATCTAGACTTGCCACCAGTAAAAACAATCTATTGGTTTTTTTCATAATTTGTGCCCAAGCCTGCAAGAAATGCCATTGCATGAAAACATAATGCATATGAAGAAGCTGGAGATTTCTGGTCTCAATGTCTTTTAATTAAATTTACCTTTTAAGGGACTTCCCTGGTGGTTCAGTGGTTAAGAATCCACCTGCCAATGCAGGAGACACGGGTTTGAGACCTGGCCTGGGAAGATCCCACATTCCACAGAGCAACTAAGCTCGTGTGCCACAACTACTGAGCCCCCATGCCACAACTACTGAAGCCTGTGCACCTAGAACCCGTGCTCCGCAACAAGAGAAGCCACCGCAGTGAGAAGCCCGCGCACGGCAACGAAGAGTAGCCCCTGCTCGCCACAACTAGAGAAAGCCCGCGTGCAGCAAAGAAGACCCAATGTAGCCAAAAAATAAATAATAATAATAAATATTATTTAAAAAAAATAAACAAATTTGCTTAAAAAATTTTATTGGAGTATAGTTGATTTACAATGTTGTGTTAGTGTCAAGTGTACAGCAAAGTGAATCAGATATATATTTCCATTTTTTTCAGATTCTTTCCCCATATAGGTTATTACAGAATATTGAGTAGAATTCCCTGTGATATACAGTAGCTCCTTATTAGTTATCTATTTAATATATAGTAGTGTGTGTATGTTAATTCCAGTCTCCTAATTTATCCCTTCCCCCCATGTTTCCCCTTTGGTAACCATAAGTTTAATTTTGAGATCTGTGAGTCTGTTTCTGTTTTGTAAATAAGTTCATTTGTATCATTTTCTAAATTAGATTCCACATATAAGTGATATCATATGATATTTGTCTTTCTCTGTCTGACTTACTTCACTTAGTATGATAATCTCTAACTCCACTCATGTTGCTGCAAATAGCATTATTTCATTCTTTTTTATGGCTAAGTAATATTCCATTGTATATATGTACCAAGCAAGTCTTCTTTATCCATTCCTCTGTCGATGAACATTTAGGTTGCTTCCATGTCTTGGCTATTGTAAATAGTGCTATTATCAAAAATTTTTAGGACTTCCCAGATAACATCTATCTTCAAGTGAAAGCTCAGGAAACAGGCCACTCTATGTCCTTAGTGCTAATAAGTGAGAGAGATTCCAGGGTCGCTCCTATATGAAGTTTGCAATATTAGACATATGGAACTCAAGCAATCTTTTAACACAATATCCTTTTTATATGCTAAAGTTGTTGTTGAGCATTTGGTGCTGCCAACCACTGTGCTGGGCAGTAAGGGATAGTGTAAGTAATGACAAAATTCCTGATCATCCAGTAAAGATGATGAGCCCCCAAGCAATGTTTTTTTTTTTTTTTTGGCTGTGTTGGGCCTTCGTTGCTGTGCACGGGCTTTCTCTAGTTGCAGCGAGCAGGGGCTACTCTTCACTGCAGTGTGCAGGCTTCTCATTGCGGTGGCTTCTCTTGTTGCGGAGCACTGGCTCTAGGCACGCGGGCTTCAGTAATTGCAGCACGTGGGCTCAGTAGCTGTGGCTTGCAGGCTCTAGAGCACAGGCTCAGTTGTGGCGCACAGGCTTAGTTGCTGTGCGGCATGTGGGATCTTCCCAGACCAGGGCTCGAACCCGTGTCCCCTGCATTGGCAGGTGGATTCTCAACCACTGCGCCACCAGGGAAGCCCAAGCAATGGGTTTTGAGCTTTGAGTTTTTCCTAGACTGGTGTGCACTGATCTACCCATCTTCTCTATTTCTTTCAGTTGTTCTTTTGACCAAAAGTTTACTTGCTGATGCATTATCAATTAATGTTTAACTCACCTTTGAACTGTAAAAAGCCTTTAAAAAGGGAGAGGAGGGCATTAGGCTGCCATTTTGCTAAACCAGGGCTTTTCCATGTTGGCACTATTGACAACGTAAGCTGGGCAACTCCTTGCTGTAGAATCTTCCTTTGCATTGTGTGATGTTTAGCAGCATCTCTGGACTCCACCCACCTGATGCCAGTAATACATATCCCCCTAATTGTGACAATCAAAAATATCTTCAGATATTGCCGAATGTCCCCTGGTGGTGCAAAATTTCCCTATTTGAGAAACACTGTGCTATCTCCAATAACCCTCTCCAACTCAATAAATTTTGGATGGGTCACAGAGATTGAAGGGTCCATTTAATCACATAGAGTAGGACTTCCCTGGTGGCGCAGTGGTTAAGGATCCGCCTGCCAGTGCAGGGGACACAGGTTCGAGCCCTGGTCCGGGAAGATGCCACATGCCGCAGAGCAACTAAGCCCGTGTGCCACAACTACTGAGCCTGCGCTCTGGAGCCCATGAGCCACAACTACTGAAGCCCATGCACCTAGAGCTCATGCTCTGCAACAAGAGAAGCCACCGCAGTGAGAAGCCCGCACACCGCAACGTAGAGAAGCCCCAGCTCGCTGCAACTAGAGAAAAGCCCACGCACAGCAATGAAGACCCAACACAGCCAACAACAACAAAAAAATTGTTAAGAACAAAGGTATGGATACCAAGGGGGAACAGGGTGGCGTGGGAGGAATTGGGAGACTGGGATTGACACACATACATTGTTGTTACTATGTTGGGAGGAATTGGGAGACTGGGATTGACACACATACATTGTTGTTACTATGTTGTTACTATGTATAAAATGGACAACTGATGGGAACATGCTGTGTGGCACGGGGAACTCACCTAGTGCACTGTGGTAACCTAAATGGAAGGGAAGTCCAAAAGGGAGGGGATATCTGTATGCGTATGGCTGATACATTCTGTTGTGCGGTGGAGGCTAACACAACATGGTAAAGCAACCATACTCCAATAAAACTTAGTTATAATTTTTTTTTTCCTCTTTAAAAACATTAATGAAAACGTGCATTTTCAGACAGAAAAAAAGCCCTGTTCTTTTGCCCTCATGTCACATAATAATATATGAGGATTTAAATCAAGTATCGTACTAAGGTCTCCCAGCTAAAATTAAATTTTGCACAGCCTTTTCTGAAAATAGTATGAGTCATCACCCCCAAGGGCCCTCTATCAGGCAAGATTCTTCTTTTCTTGCTGCCAAACTTGAAAATTTTGTTTATAAATGTGGAGTACTCAAGAAAAACACTCTTTATTAAGCAATATTTCTTCCTATTGTTTTAGTTTGCATTTACTACTTTAAAAGTTACTTTACTGCTTGCCTATCCAAAAAGAAGCTTCTTTATTTTGTTCTTAGGACACATTTTAAAAGAATTTAGAATAAAACTCGCCTTGGTTAAGTTAGGGGGTGGGGAGAGGGCAGTTTGGAAAGCAAAGAGATAATCTGGTATATTGACTCATGTCAGCAAGATTAGCTGATGTGATTTTTGTGTCTATTTTGATTAAATAACTACAGCAGAAAAGTATGAATAAAACATTGCCATGACAAAAGGTCCCTTAACCTCTTCTAAAGGATTGCATTTTTAAAAGGACAAAATATTTTTCTTTCCTTTCATTCTCATTAATATTGACTCTTATTCTGAAACACATTCCATTATTCTAGAGATAAGACCATGACATTTATAATTAATGACTGTTGTCTTTAAAATAAACACATAGGGAGTTCCCCAGTGGTCCAGTGGTTAGGACTCTCGTGCTACTGCTGAGGGCCCAGGTTCAATCCCTGGCCCGGGAACTAAGATCCCACAAGCTGCATGGCGTAGCCAAGAAAAAACACAAAAAACAAACAAAAAAACCCCCCCACGCATAACACCTATTAACCTCCTGCTAATAAAATTACAAACCTCAACTTTTATACTTTCTATCTGATGACAAATCTCAAACATGTTTGTTTAAATACTATTCATGTTGTGCTTTAAAAATTACACTTGTAAAAGCAGAAGTAGGGAGAGGGACAAACACAATGTGGAATTCTACTTTGGTTTTTTTTGTTGTTGCTTTTTGTTTTTTTTGCAAAGAGCCCGTGAGGCACAGCCATATCCCGCAGGAATGGGAATAGACCCTTGCTTCTGAAATGTGGTTCTTGGACTGAGAGCTTCAATAGCACCTGGAAGTTCGTTAGAAATGTAGCATCTCGGGCCCCGCCCAGACCTCCTGCACCAGAATCAGCATCTTCACAAGGTCCCCAGAAGACTCCTGTGCACAATCAAGCCTGGGCTACAGTTGACACTGCCAAGGACTCAGCTTCATTTCCTTCTCTCCTGGAAGTCCTCCCCTCAGCCTTCATCAAGTTTCCAGGTAGCTTCTCATCCTCCTATTCTCACTCAAATTCTGCTCTTATGAAGGAATCTGGTACTTACATCCTCGTGCCCTCTGCTGAGAATACAGCTGACCCCTGAACAACAGGGGGGTGAACTGCGAGGGTCCATTCATATGCGGATTTTTTTCAGTAGTAATTACTACAGTCTTTTGCAATAGGAGGTTGGTTGAATCCATGGATGCAGAACCTTGGATTCAGAGTAACCCTGGATACAGGGGAACCTCAGATACAAAGGACACTCAGACACACAGGAAACTTGGATACAGAGGGCCAACTATAAGCTATACTCGGATTTTCGGGAGTCTGCCCCGCTGACCTCTGCGTTGTTCAAGGGTCAACTGTTTATGCATTTGAACCTCGAGATCACCTCCTTGAAGACAATCAGCCCACCTGTTGTTGGGAAAAGCTGAGTTGAGTGGAGGGCCAGTTGTCACGGTGCCTTTGACTCCACAGCATTTGGCCCAGCATTCGGAGATACTGATCAACCTTAAAGGAATGGATGAGTGTGGCCCACAAGGGATGTGCCATCGCCTTAGGTTACAATGCTGATGGTGAGGACCGCTT